GAATGTCTCCATCTTTGGCTGCAAAGAATATAACCAGTCTGATTTCGGTATTGACAACCTGGTGATGTCCATCTATAGAATCTTCTCTTGTTTTGTTTGAAGACGGTGTTTGATATCACCAGTGTGTTCTCTTGGCAAAACTCTATTAGCCTTTGCCCTGCTTCATCCTGTACTCCAAGGACAAATTTGCCTGTTACAAGTATTTCTTGACTTCCTGCTTTTGCATTCCACTCCCCTATAATGAAAAACACAACTTTTTTAGGTATTAGTTTTAGATGTTCTTGTAGTTCTTCATAGAACCATTCCACTTCAGCTTCTTCAGCATTACTGGTCAGTGCATAGACTTGGATTACTGTAATACTGATTGGTTTGCCTTGGAAATGAACAGAGGTCATTCTCTCATTTATGAGGTTGCATTCAAGTACTTCATTTCAGACTCTTTTGTTGACTGTGATGGCTACTCCATTTCTTCTAAGGGATTCCTGCCCACAGTAGTAGATATAATGGTCATCTGAGTTAAATTCACCCATTCCACTCCATTTTAGTTTGCTGATTCCTAAAATGTTGACATTCACTCTTGCCATCTCCTGTTTGACCACTTCCAACTTGCCTCAATTCATGGACCTAACATTCCAGGTTCCTATGCAATATTGCTCTTTATAGCATTGGACTTTACTTCCATCACCAGTCACATCCACATCCAAGTGTTGTTTTTACTTTGGTTCTGTCTCTTCATTCTTTCTGGATTTAGTTATCCACTGATCTCCAGTAGCTTACTGGGCACCTACTGACCTAGGGAGTTTATCTTTCAGTGTCCTATCTTTTTTCCTTTTCATACTGTTCATGGGGTTCTCAAGGCAAGAATACTGAAGGGGTTTGCCATTCTCTTCTTGAGTGGACCACGTTTTGTCAGAACTCTCCACCATGACCCGTCCATCTTGGGTGGCCCTACATGGCATGGCTCATAGTTTCATTGGGTTAGACAAGGTTGTGTTCCATGTAATCAGATTGGTTAGTTTTCTGTGACTGTGGTTTTCAGTCTGTCTGCCTTCTGATGGAGAAGGGTAAGAGGCTTATGGAAACTTCCTGATGGGAGAGAATGACCAAGGGGGAAACTGGGTCTTATTCTGATGGGTGGAGCCATGTTCAATAAATCTCTAATCCAATTTTCTATTGAAGGGCGGGGCTGTGTTCCCTCTCTGTTATTTGACCTGAGGCCAAACTATGGTGGAGGTAATAAAGGTAATGGGACTTCCTTCAAAAGGTCCCTTGCACACACTGCTACACTCAGTGCTACCAACCCTCCAGCAGGCCACTGCTGACCCATGCCTCTGCCAGAGACTCCTGGACACTTACGGACAAGTCTGGGTCAGTCTCTTATGGGGTCACAGCTCCTTTCTCCTGGGTCCTGGTGCACATAAGTTTCTGTTTGTGCCCTCCAAGAGTCTGTTTCCCCAGTCCCGTGTAAGTCCTTGCAGCTCTATTGTGGGGTTAATGGTGACCTCCTCCAAGAGGGTTTATGCCGTACCCAGCTCTATTGCACCCAGAGCCCTGTATTTCCGTTTAAGGGTAGGGTAAGAATTAACAAATGGACATCTAATTAAATGTTAGATAATGATAAATTGTGTGAAGAAAAAGAAAGCAATAATAAGGAGACAGAGTGATTGCAGTGATATCTTAGATAAGGTAGTCATGTAAGGTCCCTCTGAGGTGGTAGAAGAAGTGACATTTGAACAGAAACCTAAATGACCAGAGGAGGAAGCCACACAAATGTCTAGGAGGAAGAGTCTTTTAGGCTGATGGAAAGGCAAATGCAAATGCTCTGAAGAGGAGCATACCTACACTGCTAGAGGCATAACAAGGAAGTGAGTGTGGCTGGAAAAGTGTGTGGGAGAAGAAAACTGGAAGAAGGTAAAATAAGAGCATAAGTGAAGTGAAGTCGTTCAGTCCTGTCCGACTCTTTGCAACCCCATGGACTGTAGCCTACCAGGATCCTCAGTCCATGGGATTTTCCAGGCAAGAATACTGGAGTGGGTTATTTCCTTCTCCAAAGATAAGAGCATAGCCAGGGATCAAATCACAAAGAGGTGAAATCATGTATAGACAGCTTTGTATTGTTGTCCCTCATTTAAGCCCACTGAACATAATAGAGCTGCAGTTTGAAGAATGGAACCCATAGTCAGCAGAGTAGGGACAGTAAGCAAGTGCTAGTCATTCAGTTATGTCTGACTCTTTGCGGCCCCATGGACTGTAACCCACCAGGCTCCTCTGTCCATGGAATTCTCCAGGCAAGAATACTGAAGTGGGTAGCCATTCCCTTCTCCAGGGGATCTTCCCAACCCAGAGATGGAACCAGAGTCTCTCGCATTGCAGGCAGATACTTTACTGTCTGAGTCACCACATATCCCAAAAGAGACAACAATTTTGAAGCAAAGACATGAATACTAAAGAGGTTAAGAGTATGAATTCAAATGTCAGCTCTGCTGCTTCTAGCTCTACCTTATTCACCACTTCTCAACCAATAAATAGAGTGTAATCATTTGCTACATCCCATGCTCTGTTTCTAGGAAACCTAAGATCACGTGAAGGTGGCTGCATCAATAGAGCGCAGCAGATGTAGCCAAGCAGAAGGTCCTTGACATCTACTATTAAATGCTGAATAGAGTATTAGAGTGGAGATGTAGGAGAGGGGCAAGAGTAAGAAGCAAAAAGACTAAAACAGATGGAAAGAGGGAAATGGGGTAGGCTCTATAATTTAACCGGTTCTTGGGTAGGGATTTTAGTTACCAGTAAGAAGTGGTATACTGTATAACCTCAAACTTTAGCATGTATCGCAGAGTGCTGGGGCCCACATCCAGAGTTTCTGATATGGTAGGTCTGGGGTGAGGTTTCAAAATTTTCTAGTTGCTAGGTGATGCTGATGCTCAGCTGGTGAGAGAACCTCACTTCAAAAATTAATACTATGGTTGGTGCCAAATGGAGCAAAAATGGAAAATTCAGTAAACCTGTTTCTTTGTTCATGCACTGACTAATAGCTGGAGTGTTTATCTCTTAGCACTGATCAAACTGGTTGTTTATGTTCCTGTACTTCAATGTTATTTGAGGGAGAGAGGCAGAGAGTTGTGAGTTTAAAAACTGCTGTTTAATATAGAAAAGAGACCATTTGGTACTTGGAAAATATTGCTAGGTTCACTAACTTACACTGTTCTATTAACCCATTATTATCTATCATTAAGCAAGAGAGTGAAAACAGTATATATCTATCCCATATTCTCTGTTGGTAAGGGTATGAGAAGACAAGGCTTTTCATATTCTGTACATATTCTATACAGTAACTTATCAATATGTGTAACATTCTAAATATTCTAATTATAATAAGTACCATTTTGTTTAGCAATTATACTTCTAGAAAATGATCATATGGAAACAACTGGGATATATTGCAAAGATATAGTTACATGGATGCTCATCACAAGTTTAATTTATAAAAACTCAAACTAGAAACAGCCTAAATGTCTAGCAACTGAACTGAATAGACACTGTGGAAAGCTTTGCTGTGGAGGAAATCGTAGAGTCAAGAAAAGAAATATGGAGGTAGATATTACAGCTGTTACATGTGTGTCTTGGCATTTTGTGTTTTCTAAAATTTCTTCAATGAACATGTATTGCTGTTGTGATCAGAAGAAACATTCTCTTTCCACTTGATGCAAATTACAAAGCTTATAGATTGTCATTCTCTATATTCAAAATTAGGAATTTGCAGCTTTTGCACTTTGCTACAGCAAAGTTGCGTTTAGTTGCTAAATTGTGTCTGACTTTTTGCAATCCCATGGAGTGTGCCATGCCAAGCTCCTCTGTCCATGGGATTTTCTACACAAGAATACTGGAGTGGGTTGTCATTTCCTTCTCCAGGAGATCTTCCCAGATCAGAGATCAAATCTGTGTCTCCTGCATTGGCAGGAGGATTCTTTACCACTGAGCTACCAAGGAAGTCCCATGATCTACACACCTTAAATCAAAGTGATGTCTGTTTTGTTTCTCAGCATAATACCATTAGTAAAAGAATCTTTACCATCTGTTAATTTGGTTTAGAAGGCGATGCTTTAAATGAGCCAAATTAGAACTCAACTTATATATTTCCATACTGAATTCCATTTTTCTCTGCACAAACAACTGTTAAATACAAGGACAGACATTATGAAATTAAGCTAAAAACCACCAGCATGGTGCTTGCCAAATAATTGCAAATGGATTTCTCAGTGTACTTTAACAACATGCTTAGCTGGAAGGCTGAAGTTCACGTTACACATTGAACAGATGAAGTTAAAATTAACTCTTTGATAATCTGTATCAAGATCATTACTACTTTGGACCTCAAGTATAAATGGACAGGAAAAAAAAGTCACATTTCTTTTTAAATTTTATTAACTTAATGTATTCACAAAATAATGACAGTAGAAGAGTTTAACATTAATATAAATCATGTCAAAAGTAAAAACATGAATTCCTAAGAAAAAAAAGTAAAAACTCAGATAAAAATTTAGCATTCTAATAATTAAAGAATAGAATTCTGTCTACTGACTTTGAGGCACAGACTATTTAGTTACAGAAGATATCAATTACCTTATTCTATTGTCAATATAGTCTACTTAGGATTCATCTATGTGTTCTAGAGTTCAAAGAACAAATCAAACCAAAGAAAGAAATTCTCTAATGTCGAAAAGATATGTAATTCTGAAAACATAGCTGTTTTCCTAGAATCTCTCATTCTAAATCACCGTCATTATTGTTCACTTTTCTGTTCTTTTATGTAAACAAAGTTAAACATTTTTTCTTTAGTAAACAGTTTTAACAGATCACTCACATCAAAGCCTACACCTAAGGAAAGATACATTAACAAAAGCAATAAAAAGTTAAATATTGAAAGAAAATATATGTGCTCTTGCATAAAATTCACAACAATATCTGTTAACAGCAAACTTTCAATAGGAAAAATCACTTTAGTCTTCAAAACTGACTGGTCCTGGGTTTTTCTTCATCAGCTTAGAAAATCTCTCATGGAGTGAAAGCTTAGTCTGCGAAGGAGAGAAAAGCTATGACCTCAGAAGGTTAACAATCTTACAAAACACTCATGAAACTTGGTTACTAAAGGTAGACAGGGATGGTTGGAGAAGGCTGTGAGTGATAGGAAGAAAAGTGAACTGAAGAAACTGCATAGAGCTCTTCTCTGTAATCCCAGAAGCAGGAAGTAGTTTGATCTATGGTATATCATTGAGACTACCTCTTGGTTCTTACAGGCTAAATAGTGGCATCAAAAAGCTCTCATTGAAGTCATAGGAAAGAAAGCATACTATTAACCCACAGAGTAAGTGGTTAAGTGCCCATAGTGGAATGAGGATCAGGTTTACTTCTATGAAGTGATTAAATGCCTTAACTATGCCCAGGAATTTGGTAATCTGCCTTGTGAAGATACCCCTATGCCCAAGTGATTTCCAGTTGGTGTTATTAGTCGACAATCAGATATCTCAGAAATCTCCCAAGACTTAATTTCTAGTTTAATCCTTATATAGACTGCCCCTGAACCCAAGTTTCTTTCTCAATCTTCAAGAAATATCCTTTTCAACACCACCCTAAAACCTAAATCAGAAACAAGATTGATACAGCACTGAGGCCTGAGTGGGATATATTCATTACTCCTCTATACTGCGTATTTTCCACTTTTAGGCCATATATTTCTATGCAGAAAACATTCTGAATGTGTGTGGAATAGGGTGTTCTGGTTAGTTAAACCTGTTGCTAACTGAAGGTTAGCAAATTGTTCTTTTGATTTCAATCCCCAATGTGAAAATCATTAAAAATACATTAGTACATTATTTTGCCTTAGTACATAGTCTCATAAACATGGTTGCCTTCTTGGCAAGTGAGAACCATGTTGAGACTGAAGGCCACCACAGATGTAAATATATAGTACATTGAACTAAATCCATGTTTAACTTGAAGTTCATTTTAAAAATAAGTAATTGAGATTGGCTTATTTCATAGACCTCTGTGTCTTTCACAGGGACAAAATATAGGGAAGAAGTTTCTTGTGTATTAGGGACTCCAAATAGGCTCTGGTTAACTACATTTTTTTTTTCTATTCATAAAAGATACCCTTGTATACACCTAAAATAGACATGAATTTTTTTTTTACCATTTCATGAAAAGCATTATCATACAATTTTATTATATTTACCTGATTACCAATTGCTGGGAAGTTGTAATCCAGGTGTATTCCTTTGGGCTGGTGCTGAGAATACTTGGTTGTAGCATATGTAGTTGTTAGGGGTAAACTTTTAATCTCACGCCTCTTGAGTCTGTCAATTAAGCATAATGTTTCGGTTAAAATCTATTTGACAGCCATTAATTAGATGATTAATGTTGAACCACTCAATTTAACTTCTCTAGGTCTCATTTTCACCAGTTATAAAATTAAGAAGGTATATTCAAGAATCTTCAAGGTTCTTTTCAGTAGTATTAAGATTACAAGTACTGAATCTGGGAGTATGGCATTCAAGAGGATCATATGTAGGCATTAATCTAACCTTTTTCGTATTGTCACTTCAAAACCACTAGATGAGTTTTTCTGCTGTTTAAATGCCAAAGAAGTTTTACTATTATTAAGTATGGTCATGCCTATAGGTATTTGGAACAAAAGTAGCCAGTGTCTCCATATATAGAGAAAATGGATTAGTAGTTAGCTTGGTCTGGGGGCTGGGGGTGGGCAAGGGAAGGGAGTAAAGGGGAAGAAACTACAAATGGCTACAAAGTGTTTCTTTTGGAGTTAATGAAAATGTTCTAAAATTAGATTATAGTGATGGTGATACAACTCTGTTAGTATACTAAAAGGGCTTCCCAGGTGGGTGAGAGGTGAAGACTCCACCTGCCAATACAGGAAATACAGGAGATGTGGGTTCAGTCCCTCGGTTGGGACTATCCTCTGGAGAAGGAAATGGCAACCCATTCCAGTATTCTTGCCTGGAAAAATGCCATGGACAGAGAAGTCTGGAGAGCTGTAGTCCATAGTGTTGCAAAGACTGGGACACAACTAAGCCACTGAGAACACACAAACAATATACTAAAAGCCACTGAATTGTTTATTTAGATGGGTGAACTTTATAGTATGAAAATTAGATCTCAATAGAGTTGTTACCAAACAAAAAAAGAGCTGGAGCATATAGATACATAAGATTTTAATACAAAAAGCAGCATGGCTATTGAAAACTTTCATTCTGCCATGTTGCAGGGATATCCTCTCCTAAATGGTTGCTGCTGGGCCTAGTTTGTGCTGTGTATTATTATAACAGCTGTTGATGTAAATAAACAATACAGAAATGTTTTAAATGGATGGCTGAATAGTTCAAGGAGCAATGTTTGCCACATTTAATGTCTTAATCTGTTTGGGCTGATGTCCCAAAATTGACAGACTGGCCGGGTTATAAACAACAGAAATTTGTTCCTCACTGTTCTGGATGCTCGGAAATCCAAGATCAAGGTGCCAGCATGGTCATATTCTGATGCATGCCCTCTTCCAGATTGCAGACTGCCAACTTCTAGCTGTGTCCTCACAGAGTGGAGCGGGCAAGGGAGCTTTCTGGGGTCTCTTTTATAAAAGCACTTGTCCCATTGGCTCCACTCTTACAATTTAGTCACCTCCCAAAGGCCCTACCTTCTAACACCATCACATGTGAATTTTGGAGAGACACAAGCATTCAAACCATAGCATATAGTCATATTCTATCAGAGGTAGAGAACAAAAGCCCAAATGCTATATGGTTATCTTGATAGTGTCAGCTAAGTTGCTATAATTTATAACTTGAAATAAGTCAAGTATTTTTTCATTGTTACTTTTTTTTTCTAGTTATAAATACTGCTCCTACTAGGACCCAACTGGACCAAAAACAATGTTTGACTTGGAAAGAAGAGAGTGCTTTGAGTAATCAAATAACTATTGTTTTCTTAATTAACTTTTAGCCATAATTTCTCTATCATTTTATTTTTTTGATAATATATCATAGAATGTATAAATTTTTTTGGCTTATTAAACAAAATACATTGCATTTTTTATTTTTAAATTTTTATTTATTTATTTATTTTTGGCTGTGCTGGGTCTTGGTTACAACACAGAGGCATTCTCTAGTTGCAGCAAGCTAGGTCTACTCTCTAGTTGCAGTGAGCAAGCTTCTCATCTCAGTGGCTTCTTTTGTTATGGAGCACAGACTCTCAATGACGTGGGTTCAGTAGTTGCAGCTCCCAGGGTCTAGAGCACAGGCCTAGTTCCTCCACAGCATGTGGGATCTTCCCAGATCAGGAATCAAACCCACATCTCCTGCATTAGCAGGTGGATTCTTAACCACTGAGACACAGGGAAGCCCTGCATTCTTAATTTAAAAAGCAGGTAACTGTAATATTCTGGATGTGGTAGGGAGAATTCTAAAAATGGCCCTTAAAGAGTTTTCTCAGGACTGTGAATATGATATAACATCCATGAATATATTACCTTATCTGACAAAAGAGATCTTATCATTTGTGAAAGTGAAGTCGCTCAGTCATGTCCGACTCTTTGCAACCCTATGGGCTGTAGCCTACCATGCTCCTCTGTCCATGGGATTTTCCAGGCAAGAGTAGTGGAGTGGGTTGCCATTTCCTTTTCCAGAGGATCTTCCCAACCCAGGGATCGAACCTGGGTCTTCTGCATTTTAGGTAGATGCTTTACCATCTGAGCCACCAGGGAAGTTACTAATAAATTGACTTTAGGTAAATTATACTAGATTATCTGGGTTGGCTTAATTTAATCACCTAACAGAAACAAAAGAAGAGGTAAAAGAGGAAGTCAGAATAATTCAAGGAATGAACTGAACATGATATGCTGTTGATGGTTTAAAGACGGAGGGTGCCCCACATGAAAGTGAATTCAGGCTATCTCGCTTTCCAGGTGGCACTAATGGTAAAGAACCCGCTTGCCAATGCAAGAGACATAAGAGACTCGGGTTCGATCCCTGGATTGGGAAGATCCCCTGGAGGAGGGCATGGCAATCCACTCCAGCATTCTTGCCTGGAGAATCCCACAGACACAGGAGCCTGATGGCCTACAGTCCATAGGGTCGCAAAGAGTCAGACATGACTGAAAGGACTTAGCATGCACACACTAGAAACAAAGAGGCTACTGGCGGATAGTAGCAAGAAAACAGAAATGTCATTCCCACAACCTCAAGGAACTAAATTTCCCCAACAACTAGAATACACTTGGAAGCAGATTCTTCCCCAGAGCCTGGAGATAAGAAGCAACCCAGGGCCAGAACCTTGCTTTCCCCTCCCTAAGACCCTAGGTGGAAAACAAGCCAAACGCAGCTGGATATCTAAACTGCAGAACTGTGAGATAATAAGTGGCTACTGTTTTAATCTGCTGTTTGCGGTAATTCATTTAAGCAGCAGTAGGAAACTAATATTCTAGGCTTTTAAAGAATTTAACCTTATCTTTACTTGTACCTATAGAGAGGCAGTATGGTAGAAGAGAAAGCCCACTGGTTTTGTAGCCACACAAGCCAAATTTGAACATATATTCAAATTTTGAATTATATTGTTAGTTGTATGACTTTGAGAAAATTAATATGCTCTGTTGAGCTTATTTTATTCATCTGTAATATGGAAATGTTCATAGCTACTTTACAGGATTGCCAGAGATTAAATTAAATTACAAATGTAAAATGCTTAACACAGTGCCTGGCACATGACAGGTACTCAGGAAATGTTAGCTATTGTTATTAATCTGCTTCTATGTCTGCAGCTCTTTCAACCCTACCACTGATGCCTTTGGTAAGACCCATTTTAAAGGGAATGTAAAAGCATTCTTACCTTTCATGCTCTAGTTCTGAAAAGATACACAAATGCTTCTGATAATCATCATTGGGCAAAGTCCTCCATGATTAAAACTAAGATCATTTGGAATACTGAAATTTACTTAATATATATTATTATTAAAGAACAGAAGGATTTTAATCTTAAGATTGAACATGAGGAATGGTACTGAATTCTTCCAGGTGACAATTCTGGCATGTTTTAAGTAGAAAGGATACATCAAGACATTTATACTCACCATAGGAAAATGACGCATGGGAATCTCAAATGTAAACATAAAATAGAGCCAGAATTTTCTGATTCTACAGTAGGATTGTTTATAAAAATTGTTATGGATTGTTCAGAATCAGATTCTAGAGGCCCCTACTAGAAGTTATACTCATTTTTGTTTCATTTTTTTCTCCTAAAACTAATTAAAGTTAGTAGTAGAGATGTCTGTCTGCAATTACCTTTCACGTCTTTTAAACTTTTCATAGGCCAGGTGATCATTTTCCGGTGATATCTAAATGGGAAAGGTTAAAACCAGTCATACAAAAGCCTTCCTTACTCAGCACAGGTGCTTATTTTCTATACTTTAAATTGACTGACATTTCAGTAACAATATTCTCTTTGCCTGGTCCTCAGTCTAACATTCAATTTCAGATTCCGCCCCCCATTCATGAATGCAAGAGTGTTAAAGACTATACCCTTAAAGATCAAGCAGTCCAACCTCCTTACATAATAAATAAGGAAACAGGGCTTCAGAAAAATTAAATTACTTCCTCAAGGCCTTATAGCTAGTAGTGACCCAGAAGAAAACTCTCAAGATCTAAATATGGCCTGGATACTTGTCTGAATCAAAGGAAAAGGCAGTGATGGTAAATAAAATCCACAAAGGTAACCTCATAATCTTTATATAACAGACCTGAGAACTTGACTGTATTCAAGATAGCTAAGTAAGATGGAGAGCTGTATTACCTTAATAACTTAATTTTAGAAAGTCTCACTTCTACTCCAATCAGACATTTCAAGTAAAAGGATTTTTTTGTTCAATACTCAACTAACTGGTTTCAGTGCATCCAGTTACATGGAGCTGGTGTTTGGTGGTCCAGCATTTTTTTATATGAAGTCCAATCACAGTTACAGTTTGCAGGTGGATTTGGTATTAAAAGACTTACAAGTAATATAGTAGCCAAGAAATCTGTAGAGCCAGTAGATTATAAAAGCAGGATAACACATGGAGATATTCTTAAAAGTTAATGTTTTCAGAGCAAATATTTTTTTGTTAGAAAGTTCATGTTTAGGTTGGAAGCATATATTAATGTTTACAAGTAACATGCTACTGAAAGCAACCTTGAATTCAAGATGCATGTGTGTCTAATTGTAGTGACTCCATGAGATAAATAAACCCTTACATACCCTCACCTTATACTCTATGGGCAACACTAGTTAACAGGGTCCTTGCCAAAAACTTAGGAAAGATAAGAATGCCAATAGAATGGAGGTATAATTTATATATAAGCCAGTAGCAATTGCAACAGATTATCAAAGCACTTACCTAGGTGGTAGTGAAGCCAAAGTTGGAGAAGTGAGAATAGAAGCCATGGAAATATAGGGGAAAAAAGGGCAGGAATTAACAAAAACTATTGGAAGAAAGGGATATTAGCTTAATGTGATCATTCCTAAAATAACTTAGTCAATGCCATTTCCTTTCTTTCAATAGTTCTGCATTGCCCTCTATATAGGATCTCTACTCTAGCATGGCTCATGTTCCATGATCAGGTTCCTGACTCTACCTCTCCACTCTCACCCCTCAACAGTTCTGCCCACATACTTTATACTTGAACTCAGTGGCTTTCAAACTAATTTTTAAAGTGAAAGAATCCCTAGTTTCAACAAAATCTGAAATCAAAATCAAAATCAAAATCAAAATCACAGCACTCTGGCCAAACTAAGTAAATTGCAGTTTACCAAATATGCCATGTTTTCTTTCACTCCTATACCGTTACACTTGATGTTTCCTATGACAGGAGTACCTTTTCTACTTTGCTTACTCCTACTCAGTCTCTGGGACTCAACTCAAACACTATCTACTCTAGGATGCTCCCTGACCTCCCTAGCTGGTTTGAGATTCTTTTCCCTATGCTGCCATAGTACCTTGGGCATACCCCTATATGTTTATGCTATGCTTCTCTGTCTCTTTCCCTCCCTCCACCTCTCACTCTCTCTCTCCCTTCCTTACTTTCCTTTTTACTTTCTTAAAGATTCTTTCTCAAGTACATAGCACATTTCTAGCAAATAGAGCCCAATGACTGCAGAATGAATAAATTAAATACTGCAAAGAAGTAGAGGAAGAAGGGGACTAAGAAAAGGCCATTGAATTTGACAACAAGGAAGCAATAAATTTTTGAGAATAAAATTTAATGAAATGGTAGGAACTGAGGTCAGATTCAAGAAATGAATGGAAAATAGAAACGCTTGTGAGGTTTTAACTCTATCTGGAAGCCTGTTAGATTGCAGGGGTCCCCAACCTCTGGGACCTAGTGCCTGATGATCTGAGGTGGAGCTGACGTAAAGTGCACAATGAATGTAATGCACTTGAATCATCCCAAAACCATCCCTGACTCCCAAAGTCTGTGTAAAAATTGTCTTCCATGAAACTGGTCCCTGATCCCAAAAAGATTGGGGACCACTGTGAGGTTTTGTTCCTACTTAAAGAATATTCATATTTGCCCCATATTCTAGTGGGGATTTCTCACTTCACATTGAAAATGCCTTCAATAATGAATGAGTGTGTATACATACATGTATATGTGTGTACATACATATGTGTATAAATATTTTATATACATACATAATCTGAATCACATAAAATTAATTAGAATGCAAGAACTTTTAAGGTTCTCATATTAATATTGCCATAATGGACATTTAGTGATTTTAATGGATAATTTTATATAATTATCATAGTGATGATAAAATAACTCCAATGTATAGAATGCTTACTACAACACATGTAAATCCATGGCTGATTCATGTCAATGTATGACAAAACCCACTACAATATTTTAAAGTAATTAGCCTCCAACTAATAAAAAAAAAAGACAGAAATGCTTACATTCAACAAATATTTAACCTGCATCAATTATTCCTCTTTTAGTGAATAGAGTCTGTGTGTTCAGGGTCCAAAAAAAAAAAGAATGCTTACTACAATCTAGTTTCTAGTCTAAAATGTTTTGCATATATTTCAGTTAATCATCATGACAACCTACAAGGTCAATATCATAAACAAGTTTTAAAATGTACTAAAGTAATCATCAGTATAAGTAGATGCCAACAAAGGCTGCAGAAAGAAAGCCTATTCAAATGAAAATCTGTAAATCCACAGTTTCTCTGCCATAAATTTGAAAATGCTGATACTTACATTTCGATTCATGTTCCTTGAATCACTTCTTTGCTGCATCTGCTTTCGTAAGTATTCATTCCTTCTTTTCATTGCAAAAATCCTAATATGAATCATAAATGATAATACTTTAAAAAGCAATCATTTATTTTGAAATAAATTATTATTGGGAATGTATATCTTCAAGCAGTATTATTTTTTTATACATATTTAAACATTTGATTTAAGACTGAACATTAGAGACAATTAAAATCCAGTATAGTGTTTTGATAAGTGATTTTTAGCTTGTGATTTATTACTTACTACATGTTAAACATGAGTTAAACATATGATAAGTTAAACAGGCATGATTGAATTTTTTATTTAAAAATTTGTTTCAGGAATGATGTCAGCAAGATGGCTATTATGGACTGAATGTTTTTGTTTCCCACCTCCCCACCCCCAAGTTCATTGTTAAAGCCCCAACCCCCAATGTGATGGTATCTGGAGGTAGGGCTTTTGGGAAGGAATTAGGCTTAAATGAGGTAATGAGTGTAGGATCTCCACAATGGGATTAGTGTCTTTATAAAAAGGGAAAAAGACCATGTGAGAACACAGAAAGAAGGTGGCCACCTACAAGTAAGGAAGAAAGCTCTTACTAGAGCCCCACCCTGATCTCAGACTTCCAACTTAGAGACGTGTGAGAAATAAATTCCTGTTGTTTAAGCTTCCCACTCTGTGGTATTTTGTTATGACAGCACTAGCAGACTAAGACGGTGGTGGATTAGGAAGCTACAGGCCCTCTTTCTTTGACAGAGAAAGACTTCAAGTTAAAACAATGTGTAGACTAGAGTACCTCTGTGAGAATTCTAGAGACCAGTTGAGAAGCTACAGTATCCAGGCCATTATAAAACCAAGAAGAGGTTTCAGTGAATGGGGTAAGAATATCCATGGCATTTAGTATACCCATTTGTGTCCCTCCTCTTAAGCTTACAGAACTGAATTAGGCATAAAAAAGAATGTGCAAACTTGAAGACAGGTCATTTAAAATCAAGGCATAGGAGCTAAAATAAAGAAAAATGAAGAGAGCATAAAGGACTTATGAGACATTACTAATGTATGTATTATGAAAATCTGAAAAGGGGGGCTGCAGAGAGCTTATTTGAAGAGGTAGAAGCAACCCAAATGTCCATCAACAGATAAATGGATAAACTAAATGTGGTATATATACACAATGGAATATCATTTAGCCTTAAAATTGGGCTTCCCTAGTAGCTCAGATGGTAAACTTCCGTCTGCAGTGTAGAAGACCCAGGTTCAATCCCTGGGTCAGGAAGATCCCCAGGAGAAGGAAATGGCAACACACTCCAGTATTCTTGCCTGGAGAATTCTACGGACAGAGGAGCCTGGTGGGCTACAGTTCATGGAGTAGCAGAGTTGGACATGACTGAGCAACTAACACACACACACAGCCTCAAAAACGAAGGAAATCCTATCACATGCTACATCATAAATGAACCTCAAGGATATTATGTTAAGAGAAATAAGCCAGGCACCAAAAAATAAATAATGCCTAATTCCACTTACAGGCGGTATCTAAAGTAGTCAAATTCGTAGAAACAGAAAGAAGAATAATTGTTATCACTAGCCGTGGGGAGGAGGCAAAGTGGTTTTACTGTGTAATGGGTGTAGAGTTTCAGTTTTGTGAAATGAAAAAGTTCTGGAGATCTGTTTGAGAACATTGTAAATATACTTCACACTACTAAGATATACAGTTAAAAGGGGTTAAGATATTAAATTTTATGCTATGTGTTTTTTAGCACAATTTTTATAAAATGAAAAAATAAAATTCATTTTCATGAACTCACAAGATGTTTTCAGTTGGTATATATCTTTAGTCATGTAGTCCAAATTTCTCCTTTCACATATTAGGAAATTAAGACTCAGAAATATTAAGTAATTTGTGCAATGCTGTATAGTTAAGTGACAGAGTTGGGACATGAAGCCACATCTTATTATTCCTACACTGCCTTCCACTCACTGATGCTACTTGTACTCTATTAGAAATTCCTTAGACAAACACAGACCAGATTCTCATCAACATCTTCCAAAAAATAAAAAATACTAACAACTGGGTAAAAAACAGGTCTAGGGAAAATTTAAGAGTTGGGAAATCAAATAACCAGTACTGAAAAGACCTCTGTTTTTTAGAGATCTGTTGTATATACAGCATATTAGTAATTTTAGACCCAAAAGATTTGATTTGTCAATTATAATCAGATTTTAAACCTATTTCAATAATTACTTGGAATGATGGCATGATAATGAGATATCACTCTATTATTAGAGTTTAAATGGCAAACACTCTAAAACTAAGCACTTCATTTCCTCTGAAGCTATTGTCTGTGTTTAGAAACCCTTTCATAAGAGACAGCCCAGCTAATGTAAAGATAAGCAGATTTTGCCACTCATTTCTTGTAGGCTACTCAGAGGGAGTTATGGAAAACAGATTTTATTATGTTAAGCTTCATACATGTTATTCCAGCCAAGGAACTCATCTGACTATGGATATATAATTACCAAATCAGGAAAAAGGGGCAAAAGCTGAAATTGTTATCAGGTATCTTGGGGTTATTAAAAATACAAATTCACATCTTATTTACATCTTTATTTCCCTTTAAACTTTCCAACCAATATATATATATAATAACTATATATATTTTTTACAACTATAAATATATATATACATATATATATATATATGTATATATATATTAGAATGGAAAGTTATGGAGTAGAAGAATTAATCTCCAAGGGATCAATTATAAAAGCACTTTAATTTTTGCACTCTATGTGTTCTTTAGTAAGAGTTCTACATTTGATAACTTTAATCAAGAAAGAATTACTTACTTAAGCTAAGGATACAAAAAAATTATAATAGAAGATAAAGGAGAAAAACTTGACAGACTTGTTCATCATATTTTAAAGTGCACTTGTAAAATGACAGACATATGTAACTAGAAAACAGTAGTGGAATTTCAGTGCCTTAGTGGAATTGTTATGCCACTTGACAAACAAAAATTGATGTGTAAAATGAAGCAAAACATGAAAATCCCTGATAAATGTAGAAACATGAATTGTTTATCAGTGTTAAATATATTTAAATTTTTATAGTAAATTATTTGTATACTGATAATATAAGAAGGGTGGGGCCTTTAGCATCAAAGCAGTGCCTACATCAGACATTGTCTATATATATAATAACCCACATATACATTTTGAAAATAATTTTTAGCTGAAATATGCAATTCTATGCAGTTAATATGAGCTAAAATATTTGACTAGACATTTATAAGCAATGCAAACTGAAGGAAATCACTGAGAAATTTAAACTAAAAATAATTATTTTACTCAGTTACCTAGCCAATCACAATAAAATGTTTTGAGGTTTTTAAAACAAACAATCTGAGATATGATTAAATTTATCTGGGTCTTTTGTTAGGGTAGACAGTTTCATTAAACAATAGTGAATATATGCGATATTTAAAATGCATTTAGGTTAGGGTTGCATCTAGGCATAAACCAGCATCCTCTCCTATGGTCTGATCTGTGGAAAACAGAGAAGTTCAGCTGCTCAAAGATACACCTATTATTTGTCTGCTGAGGAGTCTATGAAGACTCTTTAGAAAGGAGGTGGAGGATGGAAACAGAAATTCATTATCAGAGATTATATATTATCAATGTAGCATAGTTTATTGTTAGATCAGCTAGCCTAGCAGGTTGGAAAGTTTAAAGGGAATGTGACACTAAGTCAATATATTTTTATTGTGGGGAAAGACTGAGTACAGTGGGGCTCTTCCGGAAAGCTGACCTAGACAGAGCAACTTAATTAGGGTAATTGGGAAACTGGATGATAGCTAGAGGGCATCAGCAAGTTGAAAGAATATTGATGCCATGTATATATCACCTCTATTGTATTAATATCTTTGTCCCAATTAAATGTGTGTTTCAAAATTACATATTAAGCTACTAAAATATACATATATAAAGCATCCCTTTACTTTTCCACATCACTCAATACATTAATAGTTAAGTATTCATTATTTTTTTACCTGTCAAATTCAGGCTCAGTTTCTGCTGGTGAGTATCTTTGATATCTCCCAGATTGGTCATGAAGTCTCTCTGATTGACCATGAAATCTCCCTATTTGGCCATAAGTTATCTTTGATAGGACATTAGATCTCTTTGAATGGTCATGAGATCTCTTTGCATGAACATGGAATCTCTCGGAGTGGTAATGAGATCTCTCTGACTGGCCATAAGATCTTTCTGTATAGTAACAAGATCTCTCTACTTGGCCACAAGGCCTCTCTCTTTGATCATGATATCTCCATGATTGGCTACGAGATCTTTCTGTGTGGCCATGAGATTTCTCTTCTCGACCACGAGATCTCTTTTCTTGGCCTCGAAATCTCTCTGAATAGTGTCGATTTTCTTCTGATTGTCGTTGAAATCTTTCTGATCGATGTTGGTACCCCTCTGAATGGCTTTGATTCATCCCTGCTTGGGCCTTAGACTTGTCATTGCACTTGTCCTGAAAAGAACCGCAATTTTGAAAAATGAATAAAGCATATACTCCACTGAGCTCATTAAATCATAATGATATTTTGGGGACTGTCCCAAGATGGAGGAGGAATAGGATAGGGAGACCACTTTCTCCCCCACAAATTCATCCAAAGATCATTTGAAAGTTGAGCAGCTTCCACAAACAACTTCTGAATTCTGGTGGAGGACACCAGGCACCCAGAGAGGCAGCCCAATCTCTTCAAAAGGAGGGATTTGATTACTGGCTTGATTGCTCTCTCCTGTTTCGACTCTCCCTTTTTCTCCTCCATGTCACTTCTATCTCCTTTCTCCTTCTCTTCTCTACATAACTCTGTGAATCTCTCTGGGTATTCAGGACTGTGGAGAATTGTTTCACCATTAACCTAGAGGTTTTAACTTCTGTGCTGTATGGATGGAGAAGATGTGAGGCAACTTTAAGAGAAGGACAAAAAGCCAGAGGCAGGAGGCTTAATTCCAAAACTTCAGAACGTCATAGAATTTCTGACTCCAGGGAAATCTAATATTAGAGTTCACCCAAAGGTCTCCATATCTACACTGAAATCAAGCTCCACCCAGGAGACAACAAGTTCCTGTGCAAGACATACCATGCCAATTCTCCAGCAAAACAGGAACATAATCCTGAACATTAAAAGATGGGCTGCTAAAAGCCATGCCAAACCCATAGACACCCCAAAACTCACTACCAGACACTTCACTGCACTCCAGAGAGAATAGATCCAGCTCCACCAACCAGAAGACAGACTCACATTACCCTGACCAGGAAACCTTGACAAGCCACCAGTTCAACCCCACCCACAAGGAATAGACTCCACAATTAAGAGGAACCATGAACTTCCAGCCTGCAGAAAGGGCACCCCAAACACAACAAGCTAAAAGAAATTAAAAGGCAGAGAAATATTCAGCTGATGAAGGAACATGATAAAAATCAACCAAACCAAACAAAAGAGGAGGAGACAGGGAGTCTACCTGAGAAAGAATCCAGAATAATGATAATAAAGATGATCCAAAATCTTGAAAACAAAATGGAGTTACAGATAAACAGACTAGACACTGGGATTGAGAAAATGCAAGAAATGTTTAACAAGGACCTAGAAGAAATAAAGAAGAGTCAATGAATAATGAACAGTGCAATAACTGAGATGAAAAGCACTCTGGAGGGAACAAGTAGAATAACTGAGGAATAAGAGAGGATAAGTGTGGTGGAAGATAGAATGGTGGAAATAAATGAAGCAGAGATGAAAAAAGAAAAAAGAATTAAAAGAAATGAGGGCAACCCCAGAGACCTCTGGGACAATGTTAAATGCCCCAACATTCGAATCATAGGAGTATCAGAAGAAGACAAAAAAAAAAAAAAAAAAGGACATGAACAAATACTTGAGGAGATAATAGTCAAAAACTTCCCTAAAATGGGGAAGGAAATAGCCACCCAAGTCCAAGAAACCCAGAGAGTCCCAAACAGGATGAACCCAAGGTGGAACACCCCAAGACACATATTAATCAAACTAACAAGATAAAAAGAGCAAATATTAAAAGCAGCAAAGGGAAAGCAACAAATAACACATAAGGGGATTCCCATAAGGATAACAGCTGATCTTTCAATAGAAACTCTTCAGGCCAGAAGGGAATGGCAGGACATACTTAAAGTGATGAAAGAGAAAAACCTACAACCAAGATTACACTACCCAACAAGGATCTCATTCAGATAATGAAGAAGAAATCAAATGCTTTACAGACAACAGAGAATTCAGCACCACCAAACCAGCTCTTCAACAAATGCTAAAGGATCATTTCTAGACAGGAAACACAGACAAGGCTTATAAAAATAAACCCAAAACAACAAATAAATGATAGCAGGATCATACTTATCAATAATTACCTTAAATGTAAATGGGTTAAATGCGCCAACCAAAAGACAAAGACTGGCTGAATGGATACAAAAACAAGACCCCTATATATGCTGTCTACAAGAAACCCACCTCAAACCTAGGGACACATATAGACTGAAAGTGAAGGACTGGAAAAAGATATTACATGCAAATAGAGACCAAAAGAGAGCAGGAGAAGCAATACTCATATCAGATAAACTAGACTTTGAATAAACACTGTGATAAGAGACAAAGAAGGACACCACATAATGATCAAGGGATCAATCCAAGAAGAAGATATAACAATTATAAATATATATGCACCCAACATAGGATCACCTCAATATGTAAGGCAAATGCTAGCAAGTATGAAAGGGGAAATTAACAGTAACACAATAATAGTGGGGGATTTTAATACCCCACTAACAACTATAGACAGATCAACCAAACAGAAAATTAGCAAGGAAACACAAGCTTTAAATGAAACAATGTACCAGTTAGACCTAGTTGATATCTATAGGGCATTTCACCATAAAACAATGGATTTGAGTTCACCTTTTTCTCAAATGCACACGGAACATTCTCTAGGATAGATCACATCCTCGGCCATAAATCTAGCCTTGGTAAATTTAAAAAAAATTGAAATCCTTTCAAGCATCTCTCTGAACACAATACGATAAGGTTAGGTGTCAAATACACAAAAAAATCTATTAAAAATACAAACACATGGAGGCTAAACAACACACTTCTAAATAACAGATGATGGAAGAAATCAAAAGGGAAATCAAAATATGCATAGAAACAAATGAAAATGAAAACATGACAATGCAAAACCTATGGGATTCGGTAAAAGCAGTGCTAAGAGGGAAATTCATAGCAATACAAGCCTACCTCAAGAAACAAGAGAAACATCAAATAAACAACCTAACTTTACACCTAAAGCAAATAAAAAAAGAAAAGAAGAACCCCAAAGTTAGTAGAAGGAAAGAAATCATAAAAATCAGAGCAGAAATAAATGAAAAAAGAAATAAAGGAGACTATATAAAAAATCAACAAAACTAAAACCTGGTTCTTTGCGAAGGTAAATAAAATCGACAAACCATTAGCCAGACTAATCAAGAAAAAAGGGAGAAGAATCAAATCAATAAAATTAGAAATGAAAATGGAGAAATCACAACAGACAACACAGAAATACAAAAGACGGTAACAGCATACTATGAGCAATTATATGCCAATAAAATGGACAACTTGGAAGAAATGGACAAATTCTTAGAAAAGTATAACTTTCCAAAACTTAACCAGGAATAAATAGAAAATATTAAAAGACCCATCACAAGCAGGGAAATTGAAACTGTAATAAAAAATCTTCAAACAAATAAAAGCCCAGGACCAATTGGCTTCACAGGTGAATTCTACCAAAAATTTAGAGAAGAGCTAATACCTAGCCTACTCAAACTCTTCCAGAAAATTGCAGAAGGAGGTAAACTTCCAAGCTCATTCTATGAGGCCACCATCACTGTACTGCCAAAACCAGAAAAATATGCCACAAAAAAATAAAACTAAAGTCCAATATCCCTGGTGAACATAGATGCAAAACTCCTCAACAAAATTCTAGCAAACAGAATCCAACAGCATATTAAAAAGATACATCATGACCAACTGGGCTTTATCCCAGGGATGCAAAGATTCTTCAATATTTGCAAATCAAGCAATGTGATACACCATATTAACAAACTGAAAGGTTAAAAACCATATGATTATCTCAATAGATGCAGAGAAAACCTTTGACAAAATTCAATACCCAATTATGATTTAAAAAAAAACTCTCCAGAAAGCAGGCATAGAAGGAACATACCTCAAAATAATAAAAGCTATACACAAAGAATCCCCAACAAACATTAACCTCAATGGCAAAAAATTGAAAGCATTTCCTCTAAAACCAGGAACAAGACAAAGGTGCTCACTCTCACCACTACTATTCAACGTAGTTTTGGAAGTCCTAGCCACAGCAATCAGAGAAGAAAAAGAAATAAAAAGAATCTAGATTGGAAAAGAAGAAGTAAAACTCTCACTCTTTGAAGATGACATGATCCTCTACATAGAAAACCCTAAAGACACAACCAGAAAGTTTCTGGAGCTTATCAGTGAAAATAGTAAGGTTGCAGGATATAAAATTAACACACAGAAATCCCTTGCATTCCTATCCACTAACAGGAGCAGCGGCTATGCTTTGCTGGAGCAGCCATGAAGAGATACCCCAAGTCCAGGTAAGAGAAACTCAAATAAGACAGTAGGTGTTGCGAGAGGGCATCAAAGGGCAGACACACTGAAACCATAATCACAGAAAACTAGCCAATCTGATCACACGGACCACAGTCTTGTCTAACTCAATGAAACTAAGCCTTGCCATGTGCGGTCACCCAAGACGGATGGGTCATAGTGGAGAGGTGTGACAGAATGTGGTCCACTGGAGAAGGGAATGGCAAACCACTTCAGTATTCTTGCCTTGAGAACCCAATGAACAGAATGAAAAGGCAAAATGATAGGATACTGAAAGAGGAACTCCCCAGGTCGGTAGGTGCCCAATATGCTACTGGAGATCAGTGGAGAAATAACTCCAGAAAGAATGAAGGGGTGGAGCCAATGCAAAAACAATACCCAGTTGTGGAGGTGACTGGTAATAGAAGCAAAGTCCAAAGCTGTAAAGAGCAATATTGAATAGGAACCTGGGATGTTAGGTCCATAAATCAAGGCAAACTTGAAGTGGTAAAACAGGAGAGGGCAAGAGTGAATGTCGACATTCTAGGTATCAGCTAACTAAAATGGACTGGAATGGGTGAATTTAACTCAGATGACAATTATATCTACTACTGTCGGCAGGAATCTCTTAGAAGAAATGGAGTAGCCATTATGGTCAACAAAAGAGTCTGAAATGCAGTACTTGGATGCAATCTCAAAAATGACAGATCTCTGTTAGGTTCCAAGGCAAGCCATTCAATATCACAGTAATCCAAGCCTATGCCCCAACCAGAAATGCTGAAGAAGCTGAAGTTGAACGTTTCTATGAAGACCTACAAAACCTTTTGGAACTAACACCCAAAAA